GCGTTCCACGATTGGGGCTGTCTTGCTCACATTCGTGCCTCTGGCACGGACAAGCTCACTGCCCGCACCCTTCCCTGTGTATTCCTCGGCTTCCCCCTTGACGCGTCTGACTGGCACTTTTACTACCCGCCGTCTCACAGGTTCTTTCACTCCCATGACGTCACCTTTGACGAGTCCGTTTCCTACTTCCGCCGCTTCGCCCACCGAGGTCCCCCGGTTACCCCCCCCCTGTTCTTGGTCACCCCTTCCCCGGTCGTCGCCGCCCCTCCTCCTCCCCCTCCCCGTCCTGCCCCCTCTGGTGTGTCCCACATCACCCCACTTACGTCGGTTGTACCAGTTGAGGAGTCTACTGACTCTGGTAGTCCTTCAGCAAAGTCCTCGCCGCCTGCCCATTTTCAGGTGTCCCCTCCTCCGCCGCCTCCGCAGCCGTAGTCGCCACCGCTGTCGCAGCCGACGTCACCACCGCCGCCGTCGCCGCAGCCGTCGTTGCGACCACTGTTATAATCACAATAGGCTTAGATGTGCCTATAATGAGAGATAGAGAGCATGGTCGGATTTCCGTCACACGGCTTCAAATATCGATAACGATATCGTCGCTAAATGAAACGGTGATATGTAAGTTATATCTGGAGCGCGTTGCTGTCGTCTATCAGCAGCAAGTTGAATCATGAAATTCCATGAAGATTTGACGACGCTATGGCGGTTTGAGTGGCAGGAGGTAAAGCAGCCACTATAGTCTTAGGAGTACAAACTTAGCAAGAAGAGTTCGAGAGGGAGATGGTTCCCAGCCTCTACATACCCCAAGAGTCAATCTCCAGGTTGGTGGTACACCACCACAGAGTCCCCAACCACGAAGAGTCTCGAAACCAACCCTCCAAGATGCTACACCATGTGAAAGGAAACACTAGACGAAGTAGCGTTACTATTTCCACTATTTAATATTTATCCGCGTCCCTTGGGCTTGAAATCTTGAGCTCTTGGTCTTGGTTTTGCAAGATAAATTCTTCTTGTGTTGATGGGGGCTTGCTGCACACACCTGCGATGCGATGGACCCTTTAGACTCGACAAAATAGAAATAACACATGCGACACGCAAACGACGACTTGACATGCGAGTTGTAAAAACTCGCTAATGTCTTGACCGACACAAACCACGATTGGGGCTGTCTTGTTCACATTCGTGCCTCTGTCACGGACAAGCTCACTGCTCGCACCCTTCCCTGTGTATTCCTCGGCTTCCCCCTTGACGCGCCTGACTGGCACTTTTACCACCCGCCGTCTCACAGGTTCTTTCACTCCCATGTCGTCACCTTTGACGAGTCCGTTTCCTTCTTCCGCCGCTTCCCCCACCGAGGTCCCCCGGTTACCCCCCCCCTGTTCCTGGTCACCCCTTCCCCGGTCGTCGCCGCCCCTCCTCCTCCCCCTCCCCGTCCTGCCCCCTCTGGTGTGTCCCACATCACCCCACTTACGTCGGTTGTACCAGTTGATGAGTCTACTGACTCTGGTAGTCCTTCAGCACAGTCCTCGCCGCCTGCCCCTTTTCGGGTGTCCCCTCCTCCGCTGCCTCCACAGCCGCAGTCGCCACCGCTGTCGCAGCGGACGTTACCACCGCCGCCGTCGCCGCTGCAGTTCGTTTCCTCTGGGGGTGCTGGAGTTGGGGTGGGTACTAGTCCTGGGACTCCTGTCGTGGCTTCTCCCGGCGAGCCTGGGGGTGGTACCGGTGCTCGAGGGGTTTTGAGCTCTTGGGGTGTTCCTTCTGGGGGTGCTGGCATGGAGTGTTCTAGAGGTAGCCGCCAGGCAGCTTGCGGTCCCGGTCTCGGTGTCACACCGCCGCCGCAGCAGTCCCCGCCGGTGTCCGCTCTTCGCCTGCTCGGCCTTCCGTTCCTTGACCCCGTGCCTGTGCCTCCTCCTTTGCCTGTCTACGGCCCTGTGTTCCCTTCTCCGGACTCGTCTCCGGCCCGTTTCCCCCCTCGTTCCCCTCTTGTGTCCCCTCGTCTGTCCCCTGACCCGACTCCTCCGTCTCACGTCTGGTCTCGCCGTCCCTCCCGTGCTCAACTTGTCTCCCCTGCTTCGCGCTCTCACCCTATGTTGCTTTGTTCCCACGCGTCTCATCCTCCCCTGCTCCCGTCGCCCCCTCCGTCCTCCCTTGTCGTTGCTCCCCCCCCTCTGTCTGACTACCTGCGTGCCGCTCGTCCTCTTGTTCCTCGGGTCCTTGCCTCTCTCGTTACCGACCCGTCTGTTCCGGTTTCGAGCCTTGACGCCCTTCTCGCTGCGGTCGCAAACTTCGCCTCTACCTGCCGCCTTGACTACACCACCGCTCTGGTCTCTGACCTTGCCTGTCCTCCGTCTGCCGGGGATGCTCCTGCCCTCGGCAGTGACGTCCTGGAGGACCGCTAGTACGAGCTTGCATTCCTTTCCGAGGCTGCTCCCCATCTCTCCTCTATGCTTCTAGTCCCTGAGGGTGACCCCGACGCTTTCGACATCCCGACCCCTCGCACTTACGCTGAGGCGGTCTCAGGACCCTGGGCCTCTCAGTGGATCGCTGCCATGGAGCAGGAGATGGCATCTTGGAGCTCCACCGGCATCTACGTCGACGCAGTTCCCCCACCTGGGGTGAACGTAGTCGATGGCCGCTGGCTCTTCAAGGTGAAGCGCCCTCCTGGAGAGCCGCCTATGTTCAAGGCGCGCTACGTGGCTAGAGGTTTCAGTCAGCGTGAGGGGGTGGACTTCTTCCAGACCTTCGCTCCGACCCCGAAGATGACTACTCTTCGGGCGCTGCTACACGTAGCAGCTCAGCGTGACTACGAGCTTCACTCCCTTGACTTCTCCACTGTGTTTCTTCAGGGCAGTCTACACGAGCAGGTCTACTTGCGCCGCCCTCAGGGCTTCACTGGTACCTTCCCTTATGGGACCCATTGGCTCCTCCGGCGCCCCGTCTACGGCCTGCGGCAGGCTCCCCGTGAGTGGTAGGACACGCTGCGTGCTACGCTTGCTGACCTGCAGTTCTTTCCGTCCTCTGCAGACCCCCCGCTCTTCGTTCGTGCTAGCCAGACCCCGTTCTACATCCTCGTTTACGTAGACGACTTGGGCTTCGCCACAGCAGACAGGGACGCACTGGCCTCCGTAAAGGAGCCTTGACGCACAAGGATGCACTGACCTACCTTGGCTTGCAGATCTCCAGGGACAGAGCAGCGCGCACCATCACCTTGACTCAGTCACACTTGGTGCGCCAGGTCCTTCAGAGGTTCGGCCTTCAGTTCTCCTCTTCACAGCCCACCCTTCTGCCTCTAGCCCACAGAATCTCCGCTCCAGTCCCTGAGGAGTTAGTAGAGCCCAGTGGTCCTTACGCAGAGCTGGTGGGTTGCCTCATGTACCTGATGACTTGCACTCGCCCTGATCTCGCATACCCTCTCAGCATCCTGGCTCGCTTTGTGGCCACAGGCAGACACCGACCGCAGTACCGGTTTGCCGCTAAGAGGGTTTTGCATTATCTTGCAAGTACATCGGGCATGGGGTTAGTGCTAGGAGGACGCAGGCCAGTGGTCCTTACTGGACACACAGACGCTTCTTGGGCAGACGACGCCAAGACCCTCAGGTCCTCGCAGGGCTACTGCTTCAGCCTTGGTTCAGGTGCCGTCTCGTGGAGAGCTACCCGCTCCTCGTCTGTTGCCCAGTCCAGCTGTGAGGCCGAGATCTACGCTGGTGCCATGGCGGCACAGGAGCTCCGCTGGCTGACCTTCTTGCTCACTGACTTAGGTGAGCGGCCTAGCTTTGCCCCGGTCCTGTACACTGACAACAGGGCCATGATCCTCCTGTGTCAGGAGCCTCGACTCGAGGGCAGAGCGAAGCACATCCAGCTGCGGTACTTCTTCCTGCGTGAGCTCCAGAAGCGCCGCCAGGCGCGCGTAGTACACTTGGCCTCCGGTGCCAACACAGCTGATATCTTTACGAAGGCGCTTGCGCCTAAAGATCATCAGCGGCACTGTGTACAGCTAGGTCTCGTTCCTGTAGCCTCTCACTTGCTAGGGCCTTGACCTTGCACTGTCCTTTATATATATATTTTTTACCCTGACTGGCCTTGTGGCCTCTCCTAGTGGCTGGACTAGTAGTGCCGCCCTCGTCCTGCTCTTTTCTTGTCTGTACTCCTTTGACTGGTCTTTAGACCCTTGCCTCAGAGGCTGGACTAGTAGTGAAGCTTCTAGTTCACTTATTCATTCTGATAGATACTCCATATGCTGTTCCTTGACCTTGTCGCTTTCCCCATTATAGCTGACCTAGCCACTCACCTCCGTGCACTAGAGGCTAGCTACCGCACCGGGGATGTGCCCTCATTGCAATAGCGACCCTTGTATTCTCACGTTATAGTTCATTTTCACTTCCTATATCATAACATTGTGTCCATTTAGCGCTAGCATTCATACTCGCCGTGTACCATCCACCACTTCTCTGCTGTTTCGCTAGAAGTAACTTCGGATAATTTGACTTGACAGCAGGGTTGATGTAGCCTTAGCCTTATCGTTCATTGTTGGAGTGTGGGCCTATCATGAACCTGGCCTAGGGCTGAATGCTCAGTTCGTATCCAGCGAGGCACCGAGGGAATCAGGGCAGCTGGATGGCCGGTCCAGGTATTCACCACCAGCTGTCCAAGTGGACACGGAAGGAGTGGATTACGAGACGCCACATTTCCTTCTGACGACATCGAAACGTGGGCAGAATTCCAATGTACGTGTGAGAATGGGAATTCCACGTCATGTAGGATCCCTCCCTTCTGTGCCATGGGCCCCAAATTCTTTGACCTCAAGACTCTTCCCATACCCGGTTCCTTGTCGTGTAAACATGCGTGGACGAAGTGGCCTGTGCGGCAACCATGGAAAAACTTGGTTAAGTAATTGGGATGAGCAGCACATCTAAGGAAATAATCGGCTAAAAGTGAAACGTAGGTCAATACTTTCCCCGCACTCTCGGTAGTCAGACTACGGATTCCTCCTAGTCCTGACTCATAATTTTCCACTTTTGGCTCCCTGTTCCTCTGTCCTCTTTTGTTCCTCTGGCCTCTCTGTTCTTTGAGAGTCGAGATACCCTAGCTCCATTTGTTCAAGCCTGGCCTACACACATCAGACCCGCCCTGAAATTCACTCAAATTCCAATCTCCGGAATCTGAAATTCGGAGCTTCGCTCCTTCATTGCTGGGCCAAGACATCAGCAGCTAGTTACTTCATCGGATTCTCCTGACATCACATCAATTGCAGAAATGGCTGCTGTCTCGCTCCACGCTTCCGCGGCTGTCGCCCCAGTGGCGTCGCTTTCTACTGTCCAATCATCGCGGGCCATCGCATCGTCGCATCAAATTGCGCGAGCGGGTCTCCGCGTCCCATCGCTAAGGAGCGCCAGCGTAAGGCCACTTCGGGCCGCGAGGATAACATGCGAAGCTGCTGGGACCAAAGCTGGTGAGGCTGCTGATTCTTCTGCCAGCGTATGTGTATTACATGCTCATGTTTCAACGAAGCCAGAACAATCTCCGTCCGAATTCGCGAAGCGTCCATTTCGCGAGGCTCGCATTGGTTGCACGGCATCTTAACTATTTCTTTCCTTCGCATTTCGAAAAATTTCAGCTCACAGTATAGGTGGTTTGTTTCCTGTGTCCTGATTAGTGTTATCGAGTTCGCGCGTTTGAGCGTTGTGTGACATGTCTGGAGCCCAATGAGCTGACCGTGTTGACGGTGCCCTCCGTCCGCTTTCAGTCTCCTGTTCTCCCCTGCTCCTCCCCGCTAGCGCTCTCTCTCCACCTCTCCTTTTCTTCATGTCTCTCTTTCTCCTCCCTTAACTCTTTCTCCCCCCATTCTCTCTCTCATTCGCTCTCACCCTTCCTCTTCCACTTCCGCTCTCTCTCTTTCCCTCTCTCTTTCCCTCTCTCTCCCTGTCTCTCCTCTCCCTTTCTCTCTCTTCCTGTCTCTCCGTGTCGCTCCCTCCCTCTCCCCTTCCCTCTCTCTCTTCCCCGTTCTCACTGCCGCTTTTTCTCTTCCCCATTCTCACTGCCACTTTTACTCTTCCCCGCTCTCACTGCCGCTTCCTCTCTGCGTCTTCCCCTCACTGCCGCCTCCTCTCCTCCCGTCCCCCTGCACTCTCTTTCACTCTATGCTTCATTCCCCATTCTGCCTCCGCTTTCATCCTGCACTCATCCCCTTCCTCTCCGTACAACCAGTCCTGCTGCCATGCCTCTTCTCGCCATCCTGGTAGCCGTTGATCCTCCTCCCACGACCATGCTCCTCATTCCCAGTTCCCCTATCTCTATCTTTCTTTCCACCCCAATCATCAGCCATCACTTTAACCCCAACCCGTCCCGCGCCTCTCCCCTGCTCACTTCTACTCTCACCCCTGTCCCCCCCCACTGTCCCACCACCCCACCTGCCCCCACACCGTGCAGCGGCAGGAGAGGTGACGGACGCGACCTTCAAGAAGCTGGTTCTTGAAAGCCCAACGCCCGTGCTGGTCGACTTCTGGGCGCCGTGGTGCGGGCCGTGCCGCATGATCGCGCCTCTGATCGACGAGCTCGCGGTGCAGTACGCAGGCAAGATGGCGTGCTACAAGCTCAATACGGACGACAGCCCTGGCGTGCCTACTGAGTATGGCATCCGCAGCATTCCCACAGTGCTCGTGTTCAAGGGCGGGAAGAAGGTGGACGCTGTGATTGGAGCAGTTCCCAAGGCCACCCTCGTGACCACCATTGACAAGTACCTGTAAATGCCGCCTGGTTTCCTGGAGGCTTGCTCACTCTTCAGAGTCTAGAATGACTATTGCTACAAGGTTATGTGAACAGAGTCAGTGCTTACTGTAACGATAAATCGCGGAATATTTTCCTGTCAACTTGTTACCAGTCAGGCCCCTAGATTGCAGGAAAAAAGCAGGGTCGTAAGGAATTAGTAATTCCTTACTGAGGCTCGCTACAGTGTGTACGACCCGAACAGTCCCGAACCAGCGATAGAGTTCCAGACCTTTCAGTTGGAGCCTCCTGAGCCTTTCCGGAACTCGTTTGGACACATGTGACACCTTCTTTCCTGAGGCCCTTCGACACTTTTTCCAAAGGGAAAGTACATTGGCGCTCAGTGTTAGGGACCCGCAATTACGTCCGGTCAGTGGAACCCTATGAACCATCAGAATTAATGAGTTCGCCACACGGTCAGTCAGTCGAGTTCCACGGTTAGTCAGTCACTGCTGGTAAACATTTCTACTTATGGTCAGTAGACGCAACCCCTGCCCATTTTGGGCAGATTTCCCGCTCGCGGCAGCCCAACAACCAAACAACTGTAATAATTGCGGGGGGCGAGTTTTTTTTCGCGCCGGCCTGGCACTGCACATTTTGCCCTCACTCCAACGCTTCGTCAAAGTAACTTAGGTCGATACTGTAGACTATACTGGATTGTGCCTTAGAGGGTACAACACCCGAGTCTATATTGTCAAACATCTGTATTTGTACAGGCCCCGTCGCGCTCCTCCCAGGCCCCCTCGCGCCCCTCCTGGGCCCCGTCGCGCTCCTCCCAGGCCCCGTAGCGCCCCGTCGCGCCCCTCCTGGGCCCCGTAGCGCCCCTCCTGGGCCTCGTCGCGCCCCTCCTGGGCTTCGTAGCGCCCCTCCTGGGCCCTGTAACGCCCCTCCCAGGCCCCGTCGCGCCCCTCCCAGGCCCCGTCGCGCTCCTCCCAGGCCCCCTAGCGCCCCTCGTGGGCCCCGTCGCGCTCCTCCCAGGCCCCGTAGCGCCCCGTCGCGCCCCTCCTGGGCCCCGTAGCGCCCCTCCTGGGCCTCGTCGCGCCCCTCCTGGGCTTCGTAGCGCCCCTCCTGGGCCCTGTAACGCCCCTCCCAGGCCCCGTCGCGCCCCTCCCAGGCCCCGTCGCGCTCCTCCCAGGCCCCCCTAGCGCCCCTCCTGGGTCTCGTCGCGCTCCGCCCAGGCCCCGTAGCGCCCCTCCTGGGCTCTGTTGCGCCCCTCCTGGGCCACGTCGCACCCTGCCCGACCCCGTCGCAGCCGCCAGGCCCCGTCGCGCCCGCCCGGCGCCGTCGCAGCCGCCCGGCCCTGTCGCGCCCGCCCGGCGCCGTCGCGCCCGCCCGGCCCCGTCGCAGCCGCCTGGCCCCGTCGCGCCCGCCCGGCCCCGTCGCAGCCGCCTGGCCCCGCCGCCCTTGCCTGGCCCCGTCGCAGCCGTCCGGCCCCGTCGCCCCCGCCCGGCCCCGTCCCACCCTGCCCGGCCCCGTCGCAGCCGCCCGGCCCCGTCGCACCCGCCCGGCCGCCGTCCCGCTCGCCCGGCCCCGTCGCACCGGCCCGGCCCTGCCGCACTCGCCCGGCCCCGTCGCCCCAGCCCGGCCACGTCGCGCCCGCTCGGCCCCGTCGCCCCGTCCCGGCCCTGTCGCACCAGCCTGGCCCCGTCGCGCCCGCCCGGCCCCGTCGGGCCAGCCCCGGCCCCGTCCTCCTCACTGGTACGGTTCCCCCCCACCCCGCCCTGCGCCGTGCCGCCCCGCACCACACTGTACTGCCTGGCACCGCACTACCCCGCACTACACCGCACTGCACCGCACTGCGCCGCACTGTACCGCACTGCACCGCACTGTTCCGCACTGCACCGCACTGCACCGTACTGCACCGCACTGCACCGCACTGCACCGCACCGCACTGCACTGCTCTGCACTGCACTGGACTGTTCCTGATGGCGGCGGAGCTTCGCTTCGACGCTGAAGGTCAGCCCCTAGAGTTCGAGGCGTGGCTTGCTGACCTCCGCCGTCAACTCACTGGCCAGCGGCAGGATGGTGAACCGCTTTCCGCACACCTTGACGGTACGCTCCCCTGCCCAGACCCCCCTGCTATTCTGCCCGCTGACCCCACACCCACTGAGCGTGAGGCTACTGCTGCCACTGCCCGTGCGCGCTCTGTCTGGCTTTCTCGCGATGCTGTTGCCAAGCTTGCCATTAGCAACGCCCTTCCCCCATCCGAGTGTCCTCGCTTTAGGTCCCTCACTACTGCTCAGGCATACTTAGAAGCTGTGATCAAGCGCTATTCCACCCCTCCGGCTGCCTCGGTGGGTCGCCTGATCCTTCCGCTGCTCTTTCCTGACCTTGCATCTTTCCCCACTGTCTCTGACCTCGCTGCCCACCTGCGCTCGATAGATGAGACCTGGCGCGCTGCCTGCACTGACGCCCAGCTTAGAGCCCACCAGCCGCCCATTACCTCTACCCTCTACCTGCTTGCCACCCGCCTCCCTGACCGCCTCGCTGTCGCCCGCGACCGCTTTCTTAGCGTTCACCCCGCAGACCTCACCCTCACTGACTTTGTAGACACCCTGACTGTGATAGAGACCCATCACCGCTCCATTGCCCAGGCGAGCGGTGTCGTGCCGGTCCCTATCTTTCAGGGTTGTGCCCCCGCTCAGTGCACCTTCTCCGACGGCTCTGCCGCAATGGCTGAGACTGCTGCTGCAGCGCAGGTCCGTTCGGGGAAGGGCCGCCGCCCCAAGGCTGGGCGCGGCGGAGGAGGCGGCAGGGGTGCGGGCGGGGGTAGTGGTGGGGTCGGGTCGCCTGGTGCTGGAGTGGACGAGGGGACCCTGCCCAGTTCAGCTGAGTCGCCGCCCCTGCAGGTGCAGCAGCCGCAGCAGCCGCCGCAGTCGCAGCCTTCGCAGCAGCCGCAGCAGCCGTCGCAGACGCGGCAGACGAGTGTCCTCCCGCCCGGGTGGCCCGGCGCTGGCGGTGGCCGGGCGCGTGGTGGTGTGCCGCGTGGTGGCTCTGGCGGCGGGCGTTGTCAGTACAAGATCCAGACCGGTCCTCGCCGCGGCTTCGTTTGCGGTAAGCTCGGTCACTGCACTCCCCGCTGTTTTCGTCGCCTGGACGACCTCTTTCGTCAGCGCTTCGGCCCGTCGCCAGACCTCCCGGACTGGCACAGTTTGCTTAGTCGTCAGATTCAGATTTTTGATATGGACATGGATGCCATTGTTTCTGCTCTGCATGTGATGTATGCTGATGACTCTAGTGTGCTTCCCGCTTACTACTCACTGTTGCCTAGTGTATGTGTGCCTAGCTTAGCCTCCCCTGCTGCGTCAGGCGTAGGAGCGGACGAAGGGACCATGCCAAGTCCAGCTGAGCAGCCGCCCCAGCAGCAGCAGCAATCGCAGTAGCCGCAGCAGCCGCCGTAGACGAGGCAGGCGAGTGCCCTCCCGCTCGGGTGGCTTGGCGCTGGTGGTGGTCGTACGCGTGGTGGTGTGCTGGGTGGCGGTGCGGGAGGCGTGCGCTGTCAGTACCAGATCCAGACTAGTCCTCGCTGCGGTTTTGTTTGCGGTAAGATCGGTCACGCCACTGGCCGCTATTTTCGTCGCCTGGACGACCTGTTTCGTCAGCGCTTCGGCCCGTCGCCCGACCTCCCGGACTGGCACAGTTTGCTTAGTCGTAGAGTTCCGATTTTTGACATGGACATGGATGCCATTGTTTCTGTCCTGCATGTGATGTATGTTGATGACTCGAGTGTGCTCCCCTCTTATTACTCCTAGTTGCCTAGTGTAGGTGTGCCTAGCTTAGCTTCCTGTTCCTGCTGCAGTTTCTCTTGCTGACCCCTCCGGCGGTCCAGTAGTCGCCCGCAGTTCCACCACCCTTCCCTGCCCGGCGGTTCCTTCGGGCTCTCTCACAGGTCTGCATATCCCCTCGTTCTCCAGGAACCTAGTTGGTGTCGGCTGCCTCCAGGACCTTGGCGTCACCACTACGTTCCCCGGTCACGAGCGGTATGCTGTCTGTACCGAGGCCGCCACTGGTGCCCCCCTGTCCACGTTCCCCCGGGACCCAGTGTCCGGCCTGTTCACTCTGGACACCGTGACCCCCCCGGCTGGAGCGCCCCCTCAGGTGGCTGCGTCTACCCAGGTTGCTGCTGCCTGCTCCTGTCGCTCCCTCACTCACCCGACCCTCCTGTGGCACCACCGCCTAGGTCACCCTGCGCTCCCGCGTCTGCGTCACATGTCTAAGCACGGTCTCGTCCTTGGTCTCTCAGGTTCGCTCCCCGCGTTTCCCTCCTCTCCAGCCCCACCTTGCACGCCTTGTGTCGAGGGTCGGCTTCGCCGTGCCCCTCACTCCTCCTCGTTTCCCCCTACCGCCGCGCCGCTGCAGACCCTGCACCTGGACGTCTGGGGCCCCGCCCCCGTCCCTGGGCCGCGTCGAGAGCGCTACTTCCTTGTGCTTGTCGACGACTTCACTCGTTACACCACAGTCTTTCCCCTGGAGCGCAAGGCCGACGTGCCTGGCGCTCTCATCCCCTGGCTTGTCTCTGCGCGTGTCCACCGCGGTCTCCCTGTCTTGCGTCTTCACTCAGACCGTGGTGGCGAGTTTGCCGTCGGTGTCCTTGGTCGCTTTTGTCGTGCGGAGGGCATCACCCAGACGTTCACCCTACCGGACTCCCCACAGTAGAATGGGGTCGCTGAGCGACGCATCGGTTTGGTCATGGAGGTCGCTCGCACCTCCATGATCCATGCCGGTGCACCCCATTTTCTGTGGCCGTTCGCTGTGCGCTACGCTTCTCACCAGCTTAACCTGTGGCCGCACCCTCAGCAGCCGCAGGTTTCGCCGACCCGTCTTTGGACTGGGTCCCCTGGTGACGCGTCTGCGTTCCACGTCTGGGGCTGCCTTGCTCACGTCCGTGCCTCCGGCACGGACAAGCTCACTGCCCGCACCCTTCCCTGCGTCTTCCTCGGTTTTCCCTTTGACGCGTCCGACTGGCACTTTTACCACCCGCCGTCTCACCGCTTCTTTCACTCTCGTGACGTCACCTTTGACGAGTCCGTCTCCTACTACCGTCGCTTCCCCCACCGTGGTCCCCCGGTTACCCCCCCCCTGTTCCTGGTCACCCCTTCCCCGGTAGTACCTGCCCCTCCTCCTCCTCCTCCCAGTCCCGCCCCCTCTGGTGTGTCCCACGTTACCCCCCTTCCGTCCGTGGACCCGGTTGAGGAGTCTTCTACCTCTGGTGGCCC